ATATATATATATATATATATATATATGTATACTTGTGCAGTACAGGGTCCCTACACAACTTTTTTGACACAAATGTACAGTTGTTTTTTTTTTTCTTTTTAGAGGAGAACATTTTTTTTCCCTTTTCGTGGTTTGCTTTAACTTATACTTCAAGTAACAACACCTTGCGGTCCAGTCCCCCGGCCCCGGAGATGGGCTGGGGACCTCTGCTATAGTACTAGTACCCGCAGGACCTGCACGGCAAAAGCTCTAGAAATGTCAATACTAGTACTAATTTCCGAGAGTTGCCATTCTGCAGGCGACTGGATTTCATCTGCGCATATTTTTCATATTTTTAAAACTAGTTTTTTTTTACCAAGTTTTCCATGGAATCAAGGCGTGTCGAATGTGTTTCATCTGATTAGACTGATATCCTTGTGGTTGCTTTTTTTAAATCGTGATGGACAGCGTCACATGGATTTTTGGACATTGGTGGCATAAATCATGCCTGCACAACACACGGCCCGCGGGCCGAATGCGGCCAGCCAGCTCCGACTTTGCGGCCCGCGAAGTAAAGAAATGTTGTTTCTTCTTATTATTTTCTTTATAACTTCCCCTCTGTCCTATTTTATTTTGGCCCTCGCACAAGTTTTGTCATAGAGTAATACGACCCGCCTTAGATTTAGAGTTGTGCAAGTCTAGCATATTCCTATCCGCCATATTGGAAATAAAAAGGATGCGCCATTTCGTAAACAAATCAAAACAACCACCCAAAGACAAATAGGTTATAGACAAGAGCAATTTATCTGATCTGAGGGGAAAAAAAAACGAGAACTCGGATCACACAAAAAGCCAAGCCTATGTTTATAATTACAATTACAAATCACACCCAAGAACTTAATTCTTACAACACAATTATTCTACGAAAGTTTTGCTACTGACTATTTTTTTTTAGGAACAACGAAAAAAAAGACAAGGATTTTTAAGACCAAAAAAAAAAATATGTACCAGGAATGAAGAAAAAACCCCCCAACAAATTTCATTAATTATTAATTTGATCAATGAACGAGATGTCTATAAAGATGTAACAAAGACTGGAAAGAGTTAGAGAGGATACCTATTGACCGGAAGAGTTGGAAATAGTTAGAGAGGGTAGCTAGAGACTGGAAGAGTTGGAAAGAGAGAGGATAGCTAGACACCAGAAGGCTTGGCACGAAATTGTTAATGGTCTACGCTCCAGTTGTAGTTAAAAATGTCCATAGAAGAAGAATTGAATTGACGTGTTTCACATCATGTTTTTTCCCCTCATCTGATTAAAATTTTAAAAAGAAAGATGACAAGTGAAACGAATTAATTTCAGATTAAGTAATAGCGCTGGCATAACCTTTTAAAAAAAAAAAACCCCACAAAATGTTGAAATTTACCTATGATATTTTTCTCTGGTCAAACATGACTCTAAAATCAGCCATTGGTGGGTGTGGATCAGCTGATACGGTTATACTCAAGGAATGTTGAAAGTAACTTAGAACTGTCAAAACTATTTTTGTTTTAAAATGTGGAATAAAGATCATATAATCACTTATTGAGTTTATAAATTAACATACAGCTGAGGAGTCGTTCGGGAGTAAAAATCAACAGTAGAGGTTGTTGGGAGGAGGAAGGACAAGAAAATGGGACAATCGAAAGGGGAAGCAAAGGATCTTGCTACCGGTGTGTGTCAAGATTTTAGCCGTCTACTTGCACGAGAAAAAAAAACGACACCTCTGCCAGGGGCCGAAAACTCCGCCCTCCATATAAGGAAATAAGTTCCGCCCGGTACGCACCCTCCCGTCCATACACCCGTCCACCCTACGCCGCTAATTGTGGACGTCAGCACGGTAACATTTTTTGGGGAGTTACACACTGCTTTGGACCCACTGTGTGGATTCCCCTATGGCGGAGCTCTTTTCAAAATTGCGAAAAAATTATAATCTTAAACCAAACAGGAAGTTAGTAAAAACTTCTTAAGGGAGATCACTCTATTTATTTATTTTGGCTGCCGACAATGATAACAACTCAAAGCCACACAACTCTCCACGTCTAAAGCTATCCCATTCATTGTGTTCATGAACTCAAATGATGATCTAACCCACCCACCCCCTTTCCCCACGTTCAACAACGCGACAGCTTCAGCGTGACGCCAAGTCAATAACTGACTGATGATCTTGGTCGCTCGCTTACACTGTTCATTGTAGATGTACTGAAAATTATTTTCTCTATGCTTCATAAGATAAGATTCTCTTTTCTATCCAAGATAAATTAAAAATGTATTGGTTTTTTTAAATTATTAGGCCGTACATATTTGATATTTATATGATTGCGTTCGGTAGCATGAAACAAAGATCTGGTGGATGCCTGTATCTTGTCACCGTACACAATCTAATTATTTTTTTTTTTGTTAAAACATTTTGGTGTGGTAGGGGGGTGGCGAAAAAAAAAAAGCTATGACGCGAAGCACGAGGGCTTGACCTCTGACCTAACTTATGGAACCACCAAGTAAAATCACTGATAATTTTTTTTTTTTAAATGCATAAATTAATCACGTATCTTATCATCCTTGTGTGTACATTCTGTGAGGTAGAGTTTTGAGAACCATTGGTGATGTCCACGCCATCAGTGATTGAAAAGCAGGCAGTGATCACAAAGATGTGTGGGAGCTCGTGGACCAGCTTGCTGCTGTGTTCATTCTTTGTACAATTCATTTCAGGTAATGATGAGGGGGGGGGGGGGGGGGGGGAGGGGAGAAAACCCACCCTAGGTGCCATCTTCAGAGGGCTTCAAAATCGTCAGGTAATTTTTAAAAAAAAAGAGCAAAATATGCGTATATTTTTTTTTGGGGGGGAAGGGTTCTCAAACACAGGATTCCATCCGGTTACAGGCAAAGTTCGCCTAAAGGTTGGAATAGTACTGCTGTATCTACCGTGAATTAACCCTAAGGAATTTCCGTTTTCCAAGTAGCAGTCTTCAAAATAAAAAGACTTCTACCACGTGTAAGTAGGACATTGAAGTTTGGTGTCTAGAGATCCTATGGCGAAATCCTTCTGAATCTGGATTTAAAACTCCCGAATCAAACAGGCCAACAGTTTTCCCCCCAATTCAGTGGTCCATTTTTGTTATGCCCCGACTTAACAGACCAACGGTTTTATTATTATTAATTTATTATTAATACTGTTTGTTGATTTTGTTGTTGCAGGACATCTAACGACGATGGGGACGGAATTCGTAGTGGCAGTGCCAAAGATGAGGTTGACCAACGACATGGAGAACGTTTCATCAATTCATTTCCTGCTGACCACGCTGTCTGCCAATAACGTGGAGGTAATCTGGGCGGTGTCGTAAAGGATTGTGAAGTGTGGGAATGTGTAGTGTCGAAATGAGTTAGTGAAAGGACATTGTGGTATTTTAATTTCTTAAGGAAAGTGTTACTGAGTGAAATTATGGTGAAGAATTTTGTAGTGTTGTAAGTTGTGGTGAAGAATTTTGTAGTGTTGTAAGTTGTGGTGAAGAATTGTGTAGTGTTGTAAATTGTGGTGAAGAATTTTCTAGTGTTGTAAACTGTGGTGAAGAATTGTGTAGTGTTGTAAATTGTGGTGAAGAATTTTGTAGTGTTGTAAGTTGTGGTGAAGAATTTTTTAGTGTTGTAAGTTGTGGTGAAGAATTTTGTAGTGTTGTAAATTGTGGTGAAGAATCTTGCATGTTGTAAATTGTGGTGAAGAATTTTGTAGTGTTGTAAGTTGTGGTGAAGAATTTTGTAGTGTTGTAAGTTGTGGTGAAGAATTTTGCAGTGTTGTAAATTGTGGTGAAGAATTTTGTAGTGTTGTAAATTGTGGTGAAGAATTGTGCAGTGTTATAAACTGTGGTGAAGAATTTTGTAGTGTTGTAAGTTGTGGGGAAGAATTTTGTAGTGTTGTAAATTGTGGTGAAGAATCTTGCATGTTGTAAATTGTGGTGAAGAATTTTGTAGTGTTGTAAGTTGTGGTGAAGAATTTTGTAGTGTTGTAAGTTGTGGTGAAGAATTTTGCAGTGTTGTAAATTGTGGTGAAGAATTTTGTAGTGTTGTAAATTGTGGTGAAGAATTGTGCAGTGTTATAAACTGTGGTGAAGAATTTTGTAGCGTTGTAAGTTGTGGGGAAGGAGTTAAAAGAGTCGAACAACATAGAACATTCAGAGTCATAAAAGCATTGCTCGAGTCGTGTAGTGAGTGACTCATCTCCACGGAACCGCTCCGCTCACCTGAACCGTACATCTAAGAAAGTCACAAGGATGGGCACTGAGAAGAATTGTATTTTTAAAAAAAAATTAAACGAATTAATATCTCCACACAAAACAGGTTCAGATCAGCACTCCGCATTACTCCCGCTACGAATCTAATGGAGAGAGTCTGAATGAGACCATAATCGTTGGAGGAAACTCTGGTGTAACCTATGACCTGGATGCCAGATTTCAGTGAGTGCATGACGCCTCTGGACTATTGACCGGACGACGTATACTTTAAGTTAGGACACGATGACCTTAAGCGCTACGACCTCGATGGCGTATTTTAGGTCTGGGACACGGTTACCTTAGGCTCTATGACCTGGATAACACAGTTATGTTAATGCAGAGGGGACCTTAAGCCATGACCTGGAGGACATGAATATTTAAGTTAGGACACGGTGACCTTGAACTATGACCTGGATGACAAATTCAAGTTAGTTCATGTTGACCTTAAGCAATGACCCGGAGGGCATACTTAAGTTAGGACGTCATGACCATGAGAAGGTTGACGTCATAGTGGAATATATCTGTATCGCCATAAAGACAAACAACAGGTTCCACAAAATTTTTTTAAAAAAAATAATTAAAACACTCGCTGCTCCCAAACATTTTGAAATTTCCTTAATGCGGGGTCGTATCCCCCCTCCCCCCCCCCCCCCCTTTCCTGTGGGTCGCGACCTCTTTGTGGGGTCGCCTAAGAACATCTGAACACACAAATGCCCTACAGTTAAGAAGTAGCGGCGAAAATAATTTTTGCGGCTGGGGGGGGGGGGTCGGTCGCCACAACGTTAGGAACTGTATTAAAGGGTCGCGGCATTAGGAAGGTTGATAACCACTGCTACAGAGTCTTATGTGCCATCCGGTCGACTTTAAACCGTTTCCCCGCTCTTGTCTCTCTCTCTCTGTGCAGATCTCACCAGGAAGTTGGCCCCAAATGGTCCTACAAGTTTGCAGGGAACGCCACGTTCTCCCTGTGTGTGCTCGCCGTTGACAACAACGAATCGGTGTCCACCTTCCAAGCCATCCCAGTCAGGGCGTGGGGCAAAAAATACATCGTCGTGACGCTGGCGTAAGAACCGCTGGACGTAGAGCTTTATCATTGTGGCCACAGCGGGTTAAGGACCCCATCAGATTAAAATTGAATCGGGATAATAGTAGAGGTTGGGCGGGAGGCGAATTATTTAAAAAAAAAAAATTTATCTATCCAATCACCCTCCCCACCTCCCTCCTCCCGATTGGCATTAACCTTAGCTACACCACTGCAAATGAACAATCCGAATTTTAATTTTTTATTGAGAAAATCGAAGAGAAACATGAACGGGTTACGAAAAGTTCTTCTCTGATGTGATCTTATAAGCGCGATTTTGAAATAATTTAACACTAAAACAGTACAACTTATATATATATATCCGTTGTGATCTTTCCATAAGTATTTCATTGGACTGAACAATTACCATGTTCCTGTTCAATAATCTACGATTGATTTTTAAAAATAATTTTACAGCAGTTTATTGTTGTTTTTTTTTGTGTGCTAATATCGGGAATCTATAAAGTGTGGGGGCTTAGAATTTTAGGCCCATTAGATTGTTACCCGAAATTTGTTTGAATGAAATTTCTTTCTGAATGCACTATACTATATAGTAAAACAGAATAATGCGTTCAAAAAGAAAATTGACGCAAAATTAGATCGTGTGGACTGAAATAAAGATTTCGACCAAACTTCCGTTCGATCAAATTTTCCGTCTATCAATTTTCCGTCGACGAAATTTCTTTCAAACAAATTTCCGGATACGCCATCAGATTTCGGAGAACGTAGGCTTTAGCCTACTTGGCCTATCGGGGAATCTGGGAGTGATGACATCGTCATTTGCTCTCGGCGGCACATTCAGTGGTGCCTGGCGCAGAGAACACTCGCCTCCTTACTTTCTTAGCATTGGGCAACCCATTAAAATTAGTGATACTTTTTCTTTCCGTGGCATTGGGCTTAAAAAATCTTGGCCCTCGAACTAACCCTCGCCACGACACTCTTTGGACACTGCATCCTGTGACGGCGTAACCATCAAGTGCGGACACATTGTACTTACTTCACATCATGGCGGCGTACCATGAAGTATTTTCGTGTGTTTTTAAAAAAAAAAAAAAAATGTTTTAACCACATCAGAGTGTCGTGGTGTACATCACGCTGGTACACATTTTCATCCCTGCACATTGTGATGGCGTACCATCAAGTTTAAATGCGTGTTCGCCACTGCACTCTGTGAGGGCGTACCATCAAGTATGTACACCTTTTCACCAATCACGCAGATTTTCACAGACGTACCATCATGATGTATTACCATTACCATCCCTCACCCTCATCGATGTCACGTGGACGCATTTGTGCGTGTGTGTGTGTGTTTTGGGGGGAGGGGGAACGACACTTAAGTCTTTGAGGTTTTAATGCCGATCACGTGTTCTTCTCTCCCGCAGGTCCAACCCGTCCATCCAGATAGTGTCCGGAAGTGACGACAATTTCGTGATCTTTAAATTCGTCGTGCTTAAACCGCGCCTGTCGGTCTTGTTCTTCAACTATACCCGGATGGAGACTGGAGGCAATCACAGCTTCACGCTCCGACGGTATCTTCTTCCTCTTAGCGTCATGATCCCAAGGTCGCAGCATTGACCTATGGGCTTTCTCGTTACAGATTAGCAACAAATAACAAACAAACAAACAAGCAAACGGGAACTTGGTGCAGAGGGGAGGCTTGACATCCCGCAGCCCGAAACACAGAAATAGATGACATTGGGCCCGCCCCCGGGGTGTTAGCACGCACGCTAGTTACTCAACTGTGATAGAGCTGAATCCGGGGGGGGGGGGGGGGGGGGGTGTGGGTGTGGGGAGGGGGGCTATGGTAAGACTATCTCTGTTCTTTTAAATATCTCAGTGAGATGATTTTAAATTCAAATCGATTAAAATCCAAATCCATGTTTCTCTTTTCTCGGACAGCGATGAAGCGTACTCCGTGGCTCAGTGTCCGGAATTCCAACCGGTCGATATAATGCTGGTGCATTTCACAGGTACATGGCGTAGTTCATTCACCACCAGGCGGGGCGAACTCAGAACGACAGGGGCGGATTTGGGTTGTTTTTTTTTTTTTAAACGTGCCAGTGTTAGTTCACGTGCCATGATGATTCCGTGACAGTGACACTTATTGTCTTGATGTGGCAGTGACAGCTACTCAGTCCTCAATTGGATACGCCCATCAGTGCTGAATCGGACGCGCCCATCAGTGTGGGGACCATTCTCAGATTGACCCGCCTGGTCGTCTAGTCGTCCATTGTTCATCGCTGTCAAATGATAACAAGCTTACAGCCGTCCCTCGTCCATTGCAATCAGTCAGTTCTAGACTCCGCCGCGATAAGTGAGTTTCCGCGAAGCGGGATTCTTAAAATTTTTCACTTACTAACCGATTATTTTCGTAGCTAGAGCACGGGAAAATCTATTCACGACCCTCGCTCTACGGGTTTTAACATGATTTAGACCCCCCTCCCTCCCCTCTGGGGGTGCACGAATACCAAGGCCTACAGTCTATATCACATGTGTCAAACTCAAGGCCCGCGGGCCACATCGGGCCCGCCGAACAATTATATCAGGCCCGCGAGGTCTTGACCGGCGTACAATTATATCCAAGTCAACGCTATGGTGTTTCCCAGTGCACACTTTGCTGAAAAACTTAGCTTATTTCGCGTTGAGTTCGCACGGCGCTTTAGTGACTTTGAAGCACAGAAATGTAATTTTTAGCTGTTTCGTAACCCATTCGTCATCGACGTGGAAACTGCACCTGTAAATTTGCAGATGGGGCTAATAGATCTGCAGTGTAATGGGACACTAAAGGCAAAGTACAACAAAGTTGGGCCTGCACAGTTTACTCGTTTCAGTCCTGAAGAGATGCCCCAACTTCGTCTACATGCGGCTCGAACCTAGAGCAGGTTGGGTAGCACACATAAATGTGAGCACCTGTTTTCTGTGATGACAAAATAATCACACTTGCAGTCCATCAAGAGATTCTCAATGACACATGACGTGACTCCCAACATAAACGAAATTACTGGGTTTTTTGTAGCTAAGAAAATGAGCCAAACATCCAGCTCTGACAATTTGGCATCAGAACGAAAATAAGTATACAAATGATTTTTAATTATTAAAACTTTTTTCTGTTTTCATTTATATACTTTTTTTTTAAAAATAAAAGATTAATTTCCGCTTATTGAATGTTTATCTTGATCGGCCCGCAACCTTACATGTGATTTGAGTTTTTGCCAGCAACCTTACATGTGATTTGAGTTTTTGCCAGCAACCTTACATGCGATTTGAGTTTTTGCCAGCAACCTTACATGTGATTTGAATTACAGCCCACCGAGCGATTGAGTTTGACACCCCTGGTCTATACGTTCGGTACTTTTAATTTTACTACAGGGGTGTATCATTGATTCGGACAACCGAGCGCGCGCTGTATCATTTCACTGCCTCGATCTACCTTTTTTTAAAATGAACGCATGACATGTTATATTTGGGAGGAAAAAAAAAAGGGGGGGGGGGGATAAACAAATAGAGAAAGACTCGAAAGTCTAAGCGCGAAGAGGCGAGGGTGGAGAGTGTGCTTCAAACTATCCAAAACTCCTATCTAAACAAAAATTATAATATTGTGCTTACAAAAAAAAAAAAAATTTAAAATGTGTGTTGTTTGATTTTTCTTTCCCAGGCTCTACCATTGAAGCCACGAAGCCGGTCGGAGTCATCAACGGCAACTGTAGGACGTACGCCGTGGCACCCGTTTGTTTGCTAAAGGTTACGGGGCCGATGTGGCGCCGAGTGGCGGTTGACACCGTGGCAGGTCAGTGCAGCAGACAGAAGCTTCTTACAGTTGAAGAAGGTCGGCTGACGGTGCGACAGAAAGACTGTCTTTTTGTGTCTTTTTTTTTTTTGTAGCCCGAAGGTACAGCTGGGGGATTTAGTTCCACCAGACCAGTTCAGCTGGCCAATTGTTGTACCAGAGCGGTACAATTGGCTTATGTAACAAGATGGTCAAGCTGGCCGATTGTTGTACTATGAACAGTTGAACGGGCTCTTGTTGTACCAAGACGGTATAACTGGTTGTTGTACCAAGACAGTACAGCTGACTTGTTGTACCAAGACAGTACAGCTGGATGATTGTTGTACCAAGACAGTACAACTGTTTGTGTACCAAGAAAGTACAACTGGTTGTTGTACCAAGACAGTACAACTGTTTGTTGTACCAAGACTGTACAACTGGCTCTTGCACCAAGACAGTACAGCTAGCTTTTGTTGTACCAAGACAGTATAATTAAGAGAGGTGAAATAGACAAGTTAGTAAGCCTGACTCCCAATTCCTAGAATAGATTGTAAACTAAAGTAAGACATACATTGTTCTGTCCATAAACTCACACAAACTGGCGCCCCCATTGTTCAAGTCCATAAACTCACACAAACTGGCGCCTCCATTGTTCTGTCCATAAACTCACACAAATTAGCGCCCCCATTGTTCTTTCCTTAAACTCAAACTGCCACCCCTATTGTTCTGTTCATAAACTCACACAAACTGGCGCCCCCATTGTTCTGTCCATAAACTCACACAAATTAGCGCCCCCATTGTTCTGTCCTTAAACTCAAACTGCCACCCCTATTGTTCTGTCCATAAACTAACACAAACTGGCGCCCCATCGTTCTGTCCATAAACTCACACAAACTGACGCCCCATTGTTCTGTCAATAAACTCACACAAACTGACGCCCCCATTGTTCTGTCCATAAACTCACACAAACTGACGCCCCCATTGTTCTGTCCATAAACTCACACAAATGTCCTCCAGTTCACACACCCCTTTCCGATATTTAACGCCTACTTGTTCAACCTAACCCCCTTCTCTCCCCCCCCCCCCCACCCACGTCCGCAATAGAAATGATTTTAGCACAGGAGTTCTGGGGCACCTCCCCCCTTTTTCTGTCCATAAACTCCCACAAACTGACGCCCCCATTGTTCTGTCCATAAACCCACACAAATGTCCCCCAGTTCACACACCCCTTTCCGATATTTAACGCCTACTTGTTCAACCTAACCCCCTTCTCTCCCCCCCCCCCCCAACCACGTCCGCAATAGAAATGATTTTAGCACAGGAGTTCTGGGGCACCGATTTCATCGCCATGATGGTGCCAGCCAGGCCACACCAGGGCTACCTGCAGATGGTCAGCGACGTGGCGGACACGAGAGTCACCATCGCCCTCAACGCCACGGAGAGAACGGTCCTAAAGCTGAACGGCACCGAAAAGTACTACTTTGTGAGTGCTAAGATCAACCTAAAGATGCGTGTGAGGGGGGGGGAGTTCGTACTCTAGAGCCACGTGTGGAGCCTTGAATGAGTAGATGCAGCGTTCAAAGGTAAAATTAATCATTACTCAAGGAAAAAAAATATGCTCAGAGCAAATCTAAAAATCATATGCTTTATGAAAATGATTTCAAGTAACAAAACAAAAACAGGGGTTGGGGGTGAGGGGTTACCGGCCCCTGTCCTAAATCCTGAGACGGCCTTTAGGGTGTGCGACCTGTGCCGTCGCACAGGGCGCCATGGCCATAGGGGCGCCTGGGGGCTCCCAGTAGATATTTAAATTCATTAAGTTTATTATAGTGAAGTGTGGAGAAACGGTATTCTAGCTTTTCATACAATGCAATCATTGTTAATTTGGATACAAACACTGGGGTTAGGACCAACCGAAAAAGCGTGGAAATTAATTTATAAATGCCGGATTTCCTCGACCCTCTGACAATTGTTTCAGCAGAAAGAATATCGGGGGAAAAAGCTGGTGTGGAAACGGAACAAAGTACCGTAGATCAACTAAACTGTCCAAAATAGATGCGCATGTTAAAATACGAATGGTTAGTTACATGTATACCATCATAACACATGCTCCCCAGCACTGCTTGTCCGACACTCCCCACCCATTACCGCCTGCCATGCACTCCCCACCCAGCACTGCCTGTCCGGCACTCCCCCACCCATCACCGCCTGCCCTGCACTCCCCACCCAGCACTGCCTGTCCGACACTCCCCCACCCAGCACTGCCTGTCCGACACTCCCCCACCCAGCACTGCCTGTCCGACACTCCCCCACCCA